ATGTGTCTAAACTACTACTTGGCCTTTTAATGTAAGTTTAAAAAATATACGGTACAAGGTTCGGCATTCCTACTACTAAAACTGGCTGAAAATAAAACGGGCTTCGAGACATTAAATGTAATTCTCCATAAATATGTCACTAATAATTTATTGTAAACAAATTGGTGACATTCAGCCGCTTGCAGTTCCCTGAGACACTGCTAATGGCCTCCGTTTAATTCAGTCACTGTGGGTGAAAACCATGCGTGATGGCAGAATGAAGGCATACATTAAACAGTTTCTTTGCATGACAACAGGTTGGCTAAAAATACACTATATGACTGCTTGTTTTTCCCTGTTGTTGCTACACAAAAGCCCTATGTACCGGCTCAACATTTGCTGGGACTTTCAAGTAACTAAATGGAGCAAAGTGTCAGCTTGTGTTAGGGAAAGTGACATTGTTTATGTGCAATGTAAAGTTTCAGCATTGTTTTAGCAGTTGTTTATTCAGATTTGCATCCCCTTGTACTCGATCGTGCGCCTTGTGGGCCAGATTAACTGTGCACCGAGTGAGCGTAGTGCCTCTGACTGTTGTTTACCACACTGTGCTCTCTCCCCCAGGACTCTGAGCCACTGTAATGGAAAACATCAGATGGATACCAGGCAAACCTTCTTAGTTTAGGAAGGGAAGAGGAGAAAGCCATGGCAGAAATAGGAAACGCAGTATAGCTTGTTAAGAAACAAGACGCATATCTAAGAGTGAATGTTCTTCAAAACATTGGGGAATATTGTTAAAGTGGTTTTAACCATTTTTAGATTCAGTATGAGCAAAATAAATGTTGGAAGGAAGTACAAATGGCTTTTCAAAGCGACCTGGTTGTTACACTTCTCTAAAGAGCAGTTTACATTATATTTGTTTGTGTGACTTTCTCTGTCTTTTGCTGTGATTGCGAGGATTTAATCCATCGCCAATGGCCATGTTTATGTACGCCTCTCTACACAGTGTTTACCTCATTATGCTTGCATGGAAGGAAGGATGATGCCCTTCAAATGATGGACTGGAGCCACACATGTCAGGACCTTGGTGTTACCTACATGATTTGACTAAAGGTTAACAGTTTACCCGTGTAAGGGCGTGTTTTATTCCTGCTTTTGTTTTTAATGAGACAATTAAATTAAGTTTACAGTGTTAGTAAAATAAGGTTATAGATTATCAAACTGTCTTTTGGTCACAGAAAATTGTATTAATTTAATAAGGACAGTTGCAGATATATTCTGCAGACTGTAAATATGACATTCTTGACCCCCCCCCCCCCCCCCCCCCCCCTACCATGATCTATGCCCCTAGCAGGTGTTTACAAATGCACTTAAAGCTCATAACAACCCTCAGGTTCACATCCAACTCTGAACATCATGTATTTCTGTCCACGCTCTGGGAAAGTAATAGGTCATCAATAAATGAATGGCTGTGCACAACTCCTCATTTGTCAGCTGATGACCGGACCGTTGGATGTGCATACTGATAACAAATGACTGCGCCCTTCGCTGACCCTGCTGGTGGCAGAGGATGCCTGCCTCTGCGACACAAATTCACTGAATAATCATTATGCCCGGCTACCGCAGGGATTTAATAAACTAGCAAATTGACTGTCTCCAATCAGGTCACAGTGTACACACTCATGTCTTGTCTGAACCCTCTGTGACGGCAGCACTGAGTGCGGGGAGATGTTAGGGATATGAATGAGGTATAACACTTTACATTGCACTGTTAACTGTATCAGCAACCTGCAAAAACATAGCTCTTTTCGTAATTGAAAGATGCATGCCTCAGAAAAGTGATTTATATAACCTGCTTTCTCAGTGGTATAATATAATAGAAAAACAGAACTCTCCTTTTATGTGGATGTAGCTCATTACAGTATATAATGAACTCTGTAGAAAAAGTGGAAAAGTAACAACTGTTGTGTAAGTGAGGCAGACGCTGATAGTAACTTCACAATGTGTGATGGATCTGAGCTACGAAGCTAAGCCCATTTCTCTAATGCAATGATATAAACATTTGCTAAGGCCTGTCTGTGAACTCTGGATGTTGTCTTGCTCATTGTTTTAGTTGAAATATCAGCATACTATTATGTTTAAAGCCATCATTGATCCTAATTAATGCTGTGAAGCACCACTCGCTAGTCAATATGTATTGATCAGTGAAGAACAGTGTGCTTTGTGAGAGTAAAGTTTGTGGATGCCAGTTTGTATACAGTATGTGCCTCAGTTAAGTCTTCTCTGTAAGCACAACCCTAGGTTCCATGAATTACAGCCATATGCAAAGGCTCGTTTTCTGATAACACGATCCATACATGTATTATGACTTTGTTCTCTTTCTCAAGTTAACCATGTTTTGGTTCTCCTCAACATAATCATCATCATAATAATCTTGCTTGAGTTTTCAGGGGTGGAGTAAAGGGAAACGGATATTTTTATAATAATATTTTGCAAAGACAATTGTTCTGAGCTATCCCTTTATACGTCCATGGCACTGGTTGCACAGGTTGTCTCTGAACTATTTCACAACATTTGACACCCTGATATACATTTTCACTTGTCAGAGCTTTCATTCAGAAGCACTGTTGAAGTGAGGAGTGGTCTGGTCTGTGTGTGAGGATGTATGTTTAAACACTTTTTCTTTAATTGTAGAAAAAAACGTAGAAATAGAGGGACCTATACACAAATATAATGAGCCGTGGACAAACCCATAATAATATTTCTTAATAAATTATGTATTTTCAGTCATCCCTTATATCCATAACTGTATGTAGCAGCGCAGCCTTGAGAGGTTTCCACTCTGATGGTGGTTGAGTTGTTTTTCCCTCCTCATACCCTTCTCTTGAGGAGTATTCCAAAGGGCAATCTACAAGTGAGCAAGCTGCTTTTAGGAAGCCAATATATTTGGTATGGTTGATGAGTTACAGTACAGACCGATCTGTGGCCTGTCAAGACTTATTAGTGTTCATACTGACCACAACAGAATCCTTCCCTCAGAGAAAATCACTCTAATCATTTCTTAAAGGAAAATCTCGATCTCATAAAACCATTTATGAATGAAGTCATCCTCACAATCCTGCAGCACATCCACATTTCTTTATAATGCTGTGTACAGGTTCTGTCTAAAGCAGGGGTGTCCAAACTACGGCCCAGGGGCCATTTTGAATCGGCCCTCGGCTAATAAAAACAGTATAATGAAATATGGCCCATATATGAAACTTGTGCTTGTCTTATATTATACTTCTTAAATATATATGTACAAATATATGACACAGCATTCATGTGTTAATAAGCCCATTTTACAAATAAATGCAGTCAATTCAAGTAGAAAATGTTTTCAAACAAATCTAAGTTGATAAGAAAAAACCCCAATAACGTATATACATAACTCGCTTGAAATCTACCCTTCATATTTCCTCTTATAACAAAATATTGTCAATAAAATAAACTCAACCCTTTGGAGAGCTGTGATGTAGGCATATGTCAAGCATAATTTGCCTACAGTACATTTGATTGATTTAGCTAAATTATAACTTAACTGATAAGGCGATATACCTCACCTCTAGTGAGCGGCCTAGCCCTTCGTATATTTTTCCGTTTGTGGCCCTCGGAGAAAAAAGTTTGGACCCCCCTGGTCTAAAGCACCATTCAAGCTGTTCTGTTATTTATCCCTTTTTATTTTTACTTGCTTCTCCACTAACCCCCAAAGGGAAATTCTCCTTTTCTCGCCGTCTCCCTCAAAGTGGTCAGGGTTCAGGTTCTGCTGCAGGACTTCACCCCAGCAGCAGGCTGGGAATAAGGGTCTTGCTTAAGGACACTCTACCCATTTTTCATTTAGCATTTCTTTTCATGTCAGCGCTCAGCCCTTGGATCAATTGAATACTTGATAATGTTTTAGCCTTCGTCATTTCAGGGCCACTTTGTATGAGAAAGTATTCCTTACTGCAAAACCCAAATCATTCTCTCCCCTTGTAGTCATTCACTGTGGAGAGTTATTCACTTGAAGTCACACTCACAGCGTGGATGGTATTATTGATGAAATGTAAGAGGTGGAGAGGTAACTGTGGGGCACACTGGCCACTGTAAACATACTCTAGCCTCGTCCACATTTAGTAGATCATGTTGGGGCCACTACTCTTTGCTATAGCTCATGGAAATGCTGCCGTTTCATATTTATATGTGTATCATTCTTAACACCTCTAGCATGCTATAGACAAATACATGTTGCTTTTTTAAACATTTGGATTTTCAGAACATATGATCCATGAGTAGACTTGTTATGTGATATTTAATCTGTACACGACAAATTATTTTCATTGATAAGTAAATAAATTAAACTGCAACTTTTTCAATGAATTAATCTAAAAGTAAAACGTGTCACAAGTGTATTACATTTTTGTATGGATGATGATAATATTTGTTTGAAAAAGACAGGGAAAGGCAAATAAAGCAATGTTTTATTCTTGTTTGTAATGCAGCATTTTAACTTTCATTAAAGGTAGGGTAGGTAAGTTTGAGAAACCGGCTCGAGTGCGCTAGAATTTGAAAATACACAACTGGAGAAAATCTGCCACTTCCTTATAGAGCCCCTCCTCCAACACACACGAACGCGCACATGACCAATGAGGGCACGAGATAAATTTGTGCACAGATGGAAGGCTGACAGGCAGGTAGGCCATCCAGTTATTTTAGCCGGGCCGGCTCAGATGATTGGTCGTACTTTTTACAGTACTACGGCTTCCACAGATGACATTTTTTTATGGATTTTTTGTCAAAGCACTTAAGATATTCATTGCTATCGGGATGTTAAGAGCATTCCATGGAATATAACAAAAAGTGTATCTCGAGCCGGTTTCTCAAACTTACCTACCCCACCTTTAAGTTGTGCTCTCCATCTGTTCTAGTAGATACACATCTTTCACTAATGGTCTGTGTTCAGACAACAATGTAACTTGTGCTTTCTTTCTGTGTGTTTTTCACAGGTTTTATGGGACACAATGTCAATCCAAGTCCATGTGAACACAAGTACTGTGGCTTGGGGCGTCACTGCGTGGCTAACCATGAGACTGGCCAAGGGGAGTGCAAGTGCTTGGATCATTGTAAACCGCACTATAAACCCGTGTGCGGCTCAGATGGAAAGCTGTACCAGAACCATTGTGAGCTCCACCGGGCCTCCTGTCTCCAAGGACACAGGATTACCATCATGCACAGCGAGGAATGCTTCTACAAAAGTAAGAGCTCATGTGACCTTTCTCTAATGGAGGATGTGTGCGGTCCAGTGAATACTGTACATCTTGCTCCGTACCCTTTGCAATGTTTATTAGGTCCTGTTGGCCCTGAAACCTGCGGGATTTTATTCAATAGAGTTTGCTTCCCGCTTTGACAGGTTCTAAAAATATTTGGAAAATAACACCCACATAAGGTTTGGGGATTTTGACAACTTCACATTTGAAGGTGGCATATTTTTACTGGAAGGAAGGGGAATGACCTACAAAACATACTGCTTATCAGGTCAGGGATACTTTGATCCAAACAGTTTGTCCCTCCATGGGACATAAATGCTCGGCCTTGGGCATTCTTAGTGCCATGTCTGACCACAGTGACACAGGACTGCATCTAGGTTACTTATGATCTAAAGAAATAGGGAAATGAAGGTCTTTCTTTCATCGTCAAAGAAGAGGAATGACTGAAATTGGGTTGTCACCATATATACTGTATAGCAATATGAATAGGAAATATGAAAAAGTATAAATCAAATTTGTCTTTATTTTGTTCATATTTGCAAATGAGTTACAGTCAAATTACGACTGTTAAAGGTGGGGTATGTAATTTTGGAGAAACCAGCTCGAAATGTGCTAGAATTTGAAAATACACAACCGGAAAAAATCTGCCTCTTCCTTCAGACTTCCTTACAGAGCCCCTCCTCCAACACACACAAACGCGCACATGACCAATGAGGGCACGAGATAAGTTTGTGCACGAGATGGAAGGCTGACAGGCAGGTAGGCCATCCAGTTATTTTAGCCGGGCCGGCTCAGATGATTGGTCGTGCTTTTTACAGCGCCATGGCTTCCACAGATGAACTTTTTTTATGTATTTATTGTCAAAGCATTTCATATATTCATTCCTTTCGGGATGTTAAGAGCATTCCATGGAATATAACAAAAAGTGTTTACATACAATTACATACCCCACCTTTAAGAGGTAGAGAGTGTTTGACCATAACATACTAAAGCAGCCTCCAACAGCAAGCGTTAACTTGCTCTCCTTTCAACAAAGATTTTATGTTTACATTCTTACATTTTTAAACATCATTCTGTTTAAAACTATCTTCACTATCGGTACGTTTTGACACCCTCAAACTGAAACCTCTGAGTAATCTTGACGGCTGGCCCGTTGCACCAGACTCTTGACAATTAAGCAAACACATTAAAAAGTGCCCTAATAATCCAATGCTACTTGGTTGGTAAAAGAGTAAAAGTCTCTATTTTGGCTCTAAGGAAATCCTACCCATGACCTGAATGGCGTATCGAGAAGATAAATATGAACATTACCTACAAACTGTGAATTGAGTAAACAAATACATTGATCACTACGCTTGCTAAATTGAATAGATGATAGTCAACCAGTTGGAAATAACTTCATTTAGTATCGGCATCAACAACAAAAATATGAAATAACAATGCATAACCCACTGTGTACCCGCAAGTTGTCATTTTCACACTTGTGTTTTGGTGTGGATTGATCAAACATGATATGACATGTTATTGAATGAGATTATAGAGGTGTTTGTAGTTAAATGTATTTATTTTCAGTGGTATTGCCCTACCCATTAGCTTAAGATAGTTAGCAAATTAACCAAAATGAACAGCAGAAGTTAAACAAATCCATGTTTACCTTTGATGCAGATATCATAATGTTCTCTGCAACAAAATGCCACTCTGAAATAGATACATCTTGTATATAGATACTAAATGTCAAAATATAAGCACATACAATACATCAAATACAAAATAGCACATACAAGTGTAACACAAACATCCTGTGTAGCTAGCACTGACAGGAATGTGTAGAATCAATGTTATGAAATATTGACAAAACCTGTATAACATTCATGGGGGATGCAACATAAAGAACAGAATACACACTATAAAACCACTCATGTAGCTCCATGTGAAATTCACAGCTGGGTTTAGAGTCAGGAGCAGGTGGTGGTGCTGTAGAGTTCATATTTCCCCAGAGAAGGTTGCCTTCTCTCTACCATTGATTGTATAAACAGGCCAATTATTCCCAGTCCCTCGAAAACAAGGTTACTCTCCCTTTGGTGAACCCAAGGTGTCGCTGAAGTAAGAGATCCTGACACTCTGCACCTTAGTTTCATTCAGGGCAAAGGGGTTTATGGTTGCAAAGTACTCACAGACGGCGTATTCATAATATTCATGAGCCATTGAATGAGTCTCTGAATGTATTCAACATGGTTTCTTAGTAAACTTGTTCGCTTTGAAAACGTAAACTTCTTTCGAGGCCGGGAATGGCTTTGGATCTGTAGCCTTTAGCTGATGAAACTCTCTACGGTCCTTCCTACAGAGGGTTTTTTTTCTTCTGGATTTTAAAGCCACAACAAACGAAAACTAAGAGCACATCCATCTCACTCAAACAACTCTTTGTCGCCACTGAAATGTTCAATTTAGACATGAACAAGAGGAAAGAAGAACATGTGCTTTTACAGCAATTCCCTTCACTATACTGAACAAGAGCCAACATACAAAACAACTAAAAACAGCAGCCTCATGACTTGGCACGGATAAAGAGCAGCCTGCAGAAACAGTGTCGGTGAGCCAATGCTAACAATCAAAGCATCTGTTTCATCCCACTCACAGAAAAAGGCATTCAGATCAGTGATAGATCTCAGGGTGGGTGACACTCCTAATCGGCCTCTCTCATGTCCCCTATCCTGTCAGAGTACCCCCCCCCGACCTCCTCTACATTCAGTCAGCATTTGACCGCAATGCAGAGTGGGATATTTGACCAATGTCAAGCGATCAATATCAGATCAACAGGAGCCAAAAGAAAGAAAGAAAAATAAAAAATAACAATTTTTTCTCTCATCTCCTCCCTCGCTCAATCCAGAAGTTTTTTTCTTCAAACTGTGACTAAAATCAAATCAATTTTTCATTGGTTGAAAGCTCCAGGGAGAAAACACGTGGGCCTGCTGCTAAAGGAATTGTTTTCTTCTAGGCATTTTCAAATATATTTAAAACAATAAACTCTATAAATGTTGTCCAGCTTTAAAAATCCCTGTACAGGTAAACAGAAAATATTACAAAGTCACTGGGGACTTGTTCTTTGTTGCAACTACAAAAGGCGCCGTGGCAATCAGAGGAATTACATAATTGAGCAAATGTAATATAGCTTACAACCACATCTAGATGTAATTATGATTCAGGTGTTATTAGTGGGTAAAGTACCCTCAACGCCATGTTAAATATGTCATTTGATTATTTGTCCTCCTGGTAATAGGCTCACTTTACCTTGCAATATGGAGATATGTACTCATTATCACAGCATAGTAATGAATTCCCCTCAGTTAAATATTCGTTTTTTACCACTGAGGTATGGTTGCGTCTCATGTCTGCCTCTGTCGGTTAGTCTGTTAGTGACCAGGATATCTACTTAACAGATTTCAATTACATTTGGTAGAAGGTCATGTCACTGGCAAAGCAGCAGTAATTACTTTACAGTCACACTAGCAGCTCTGTCAGTCGGTTAGTTTGTTCTCTACTTTGGCCCTGACTGTAACATCTCAACAACTAGGTTCAACATGTCATTACATTTTGTGCGGACAGTGAGTTCCTGGAAGATGAAGCCTACTCACTTTGGAAATCGCCTGACCTATATTCTGGCAACACTGTTTTCAAATAAAAAAGCAATTTTGGTACATTAGCCATTACCATGAATTGTACTTGAATTAACCTTTACTGTCCCCTGACCTTATGTCTAGGTACATTTCCTATTTGTTTAATGTTTTTGTTACCAAATACATGCAAAACCAAAGACAAGTCCATCAGTAATGCTCTTCTTTCGTGTCAAGAAGTGCATTGCGTAGCAGATCCAAAGGTTGGTATCAAGGCTGAATCGATCAACTCTAGTAATGTCGTCTTTCCTGGACTCGCCTGTGTTTTGTTTACCATATAAAGGTGATGGGTACATGTGCTTCGGATCAGATTTAGATGCCTAAACAACAGCATCAATATCATCAGTATATCTGGCCCTCGGTTGTTGACACATGTACCGCATGGAAGGCTTCTCATTACAGCAGCAAGGTCTTCCTCTTGTCCAGTACATGAAATACTTTGGCTGTTAAATTCAGTAAACAATGCCATTGCCAAAACTGTCAATGCTAGATGGATGACATGCTGGTTCCTTTGCCTCATACTTTCCTTGTTGTTGGATATACAGAAGCTAATACAACGTCCATTTCCATCATTTATCAACCTCGTTCACACCACAAAGCATCCAGGGGCCAAACAATCAGTGCAAACCGGGTTTTAATTATGGATGTACAAGTTCACTTATTTTAGACCCATATGTGTGTAATAGATCTAAAACCATTACATTACTGCTGATTAACCTCATCCAGTATTCAGCAACAAATACAAAAGTTTAAAGGCAAGACACATTTCACTAATAGTAGTATGTTTTAATAGTGTATTCACACTATGAGATTTGTTTGGTATGTAAGATATTGCTAGCAATTCAGGATATGCCTTTAACATGCTATTTTGAAAGGGTTCTTGAACGTTGACTTATAATGGTTATTTTTACAATGTTCATTTACCTGTTTACATGCTTTTAAAGTAAAACAAAAAAACTGTTTTATATACCTGTATTCACCAGTCTTAAAATCTCTATATTCGCCCCTGTCTCTTTTAGCCTGCCGACCAAACAAGGCCAGTCTGCCCTGTCTGGCTAGCAAGAAAAGTTGCAGTGGTAGTTTTCAATCCATTGGTGGCTATAATCAGATGGTGGATTATATTCTAAAGAGTCTCCATGTGACATAGGAACGTCCGCTAAATCTGAACGGTTGTTTGCAACGCATGTTTTCTGACCTAGGCTCAAGTCGAATAGTCCATTTAGCTTAGGAACCTTCCTAACGGAGTGAAATGACCCGGAAGTCCCTCAGTGGCAGCCATGATAAGTGCCGTTCGAATTCTCTAGATCAGTGGTTCTC